ACAAGACACGACCTCAGTTGGCCGGTATTGTAATCAGGGTGCATGGACCGATCTGATCTGCTCCATGGACAAGACACGACCTCAGTTGGCCGGTATTGTAATCAGGGTGCATGGACCGATCTGATCTGCTCCATGGACAAGACACGACCTCAGTTGGCCGGTATTGTAATCAGGGTGCATGGACCGATCTGATCTGCTCCATGGACAAGACACGACCTCAGTTGGCCGGTATTGTAATCAGGGTGCATGGACCGATCTGATCTGCTCCATGGACAAGACATCACCACCAAAGCAATAACGAGAATTACTTCTTGTATTCTAGTTTTTACTTTTGAAAAATCTTCCTTTGCTAAATCCCGTAGAGGGGAATCATGTATAGGGCTGGATGCCCCAATAAAAAGGCTTGTGTGTGAAAAAAAAATAATAACGAGGCATCTATATACAGAAAATGAAAACCTTAAGACGCGAATGTTTCATTCATACCTCAATAAAACTTCTACTGTCCTTACTGCGATGTTCACCAGTGATGAACCAAGAGCCCTCCCAATATATTGTTTTATCGCAGTAAGGATAGTAGAAGTTTTTGACTGATGTATTAAAGAAACATTTGCGTCTTAATGTCTTCCTTTGGAGTATATATAAGAGAATTCCAAGTTTTAAAAATATAAGATTGGTCCAAAAGTTCGTGTTTTTATTTAAACGTTGTTTTTCTTATTACTTGGCGAATAATATTATTACGGCGAATACATAATATACCAGGTCTATTAGTATGAAACGCGAAAATTTTCAGTGAATTCAAAAGTTCACCAATTCCATACAACAAAAGATTTTTTATTCAAAGTAATTGCCCTGATTAGCTATACACTCGGACCACCTTTAAGGCAATTTTCGAATTCCTTGTCTGAAAAATTCTATTCCTTTTGAGTCGAACCAGTCAACAAGCCATTTTCGGAGTATGTCTGAGTTCCAAAATTCCTGGTTTTTTTAGAGCGTGTCCTAAAGTTGTGAAAAGGTAGTAGTCCGACGGCGCTAAGTCTGGTGAGTACGGCGGGTGGGGTAAGAGTCCCAGTCCAAGTCTTTTATGGTGTTTTTGACCACTGTAGCGTTGTGTGCTGGAGCGTTGTCATGCTGCAGTATCAGCTTGTTGTGCTTTTCACGCCATTCCGGTCTTTTTTCATTCAACGCCTCTCTCAAACTGTGCATTTGTTGTTCGTAGCGACTAGTATTGACCGTTTCGCCAGGTTTCAGGAGCTTGAGATATACTACGCCGGTCTGGTCCCACCATACGCAAAGCATTGCCTTTTTTCCTAAGCGATTAGGCCTAGGCTTCCGTTTTGGAAATTGGCCGAGCAGGCCCCACGACTGTTGGCGTATAGGATTGCTGAAGTGGATCGATTTCTCATCAGAAGCTACGATTCGGTGCAAAAATGACTTCTTTTCATGCCTGGCGAGCAGCCCTTCGCAGGTTACCAGACGCCGTTCTTGCTGCCTTTCGCTCAACTCGTGGGGGACCTATCTGGAAAGCTTTTGGGTCATTCTGAGGCTGTTTAAACGTAGGGAAACAGAACCTTGAGACACCTGGAGCTGTTTCGCGAGTTTCTCCTGCGTTTGGGTACTGTCGTCATCCAACAAAGCTTGCAGTTCAGCGTCCTCGAACTTTTGGTGCGGTTTTCCACGTGGTTCATTATCAAGTTCGAAATCGCCACTTTAGAATTTTTTAAACCACCTGTAACACTGTGATTTGCTCAGAGCGTGGTCGCCGTGAACTTCCTCGAGCATTCGGTGGGCTTCAGTGGCACTTTTCTTCCAGTTGAAGGCGAACAACAAAACTTCCCGCAAATGGGCATTTTTGGCTCGGAAATCACCATTTTCCATGGGCTCCAGAAATTATCCAGGATTTAAATTTTTCTAAAACTCCACGCATGATGATGCCACGTGAGTCAAAAAACAAAATGCCTTCAACAGCGCCACCGTCGACTCAAATAAAGTTGCACAGCGCCCTCTGGCAGCCATTTTCGCGTTTCATACTAATAGACCTGGTATATAATACAAAATACAATAACTTTATACATAATACAAAGACATTATACATAACGGCGAATAATATTGGTATTTCAAATTTTTACAAATGTTCACGAACTTTTGGGACAACCTTGTATATAACCAACTTCACAACTTACGTTGCTTTGTCTTCTCCACACCCACTTGGAGATCTATTGGGTCGGCAGTGAATGAGATTATGTAGTCCATGTCTCATCCTGTCTACCGCCATGCTCTCCGAGCTGAAGGAGAGGATGCCGCCCAACCCTCACGTGTCAGATCAACGTTGGTGTAGGTAAGGTGCATTGATTGATGAGTGAGCCACTGAACGTAGATTGTGAATTGAAGATGAACTTTTCCCCCGCTATATCGAACTGTATTCAATAAACTGTATATTAGATAGTAAAAAGACATATATTGGATTGAATAAAATATTTATTTGCCAATATTTCGGTTGGCTGAACGCCAACCTTTATCGAGGCATTACATTTTTGTATAGACAAACTCAGCGCCGCATAGTGTTATAATATTATAGTTGAAATAATTTAAAATACAAAGTAGGTGGGGGAAATTTATGCATGAAAATATTATTATATTACTATAATATATACTTTGTATATACAGTCGAACTTGGATAATTCGAACCCCAAGGGACCATAAAAAAATTCGAATTATCCAAAAATTCGAATTAAAAACGTAAATTTAATTTATAGGGAATTCTAGGGACCAAGATAAATATTCGAATTAAAGAGGTTTTCGAATTAAAGAAGTTCGAATTATCCAAGTTCTACTGTATTTTAAATTATTTCAACTGTGATATTATAACATTAGGCGACGCTGAGTTTGTGTATACAAAAATGTAATGCCTCGATAAAGGTTGGCGTTCAGCCAGCCGAAATATTGACAAATAAATATTTTATTCAATCCAATATATGTATTTTTACTATCTAATGATTTAAGTATGGATTGCTCTATTTTCAGAACAAATAAACTGTATATATGAACCATGGAATTTCCATGGTAATTCGACTTCCAACAGTCTACCACCGGACTACCCATAGACGGCCCCGTGTAATGTAAGAAGATATCTACCTCTTAGACTTGTTTAAACTGAACCAAACAATTCAAATTTGTCTGTTAATTTGATATACAAGGTTATCCCAAAAGTTCGTAAACACTTGCAAAAAAATTAAATACCAATATTATTCGTCGTTATGTATAATGTCTTTGTATTATGTATAAAGTAATTGTATTATGTATTCACCGTATATAATATTATTAGACAAGTACAAAGAAAAACAACCTTTTAAGAAAAATACGAACTTTTGGGACAACCTTATATAAGTTTTGAATGCTGATGTATATATTTTAAGTATATTAAATACTATTTGTATATTGTAAAACGACACTTGAAGTTACACTGCATGAGTTTCTTTTCAACGACAAATTAATTTTTTTTTTTCAAGGTGAAATATCGACCATTTCTAACCCTTTTGGATGAGGTATGAAAGGATGAATTATGAAGAATAATGATGAACGGAAAGATAAAAGTGCCCAGGGATGGGAATCGAACCCACAATGTTCCGCGGTGTAACTTCAAGTGTCGTTTTACAATTACAGGCCGCAGTGTATTATATTGTACTATTTGTATATATCGCTGATTTTATCATCAAATTTGAAGTGACCATGAAAATGGATCTGAGAGAAGGAAATGCGATAGAAGACACGGATTCCTACAATTACTGAATATATAATATAATAGTATTGTGGGGCGACATCAGTAGTTTCCCCAGTAACTCTCACGTCAGGCAGCTTCAACAGTAGTACATCAAATGGAGGGTTCTCCATTGATGAGCCATCCCAAGAACTTGGAAGCCAGGTGGCTCCTAAAAGGAAATCTTATGTATTTATTGTTGACCAGTAAAAGGAGATATAAGTGTGGGGATAAATGAAATTTCCTTTCAAACATATCCATGGCTTGTTGACAAAGGAGATACCTTCCGCCAATATCATGAGGCAGGGATCGGTACACTTTTGAGTCAGAAGAGTCAAAAATTACAATTTACAAAATTTCAAAGTTTTTAAAGAGCAACAAAAATGTTTTCTTGCCAACAATAAATAGTACTCGCATAAATAATATTTACGTATGGAACTGTATAAAGAGGCGCAGTTTCACATCCAAAGAGCCGCATGTGGCTCGCGAGCCGCAGTTTGCCGACTCCTGCCATAAAGTGATCACAGATCCATAGTCATCACCGAGCTCCTCAGAAAGCCGCCTGACATCCCCCGTCCGACCACAACGATGAAAGATCTCCCCGGCCTTAGTGACAAATTATTTTCCTAGCTGAGAAGACGTGTCGCGTAAAAGGTGTTTACGCCCAGGCTCTGCTTCATCTAGACGTCCAAAACTTCTTCTGGTCCCGGGACCTTTCTCAATGGCGTCTTTTTACTCCTGACTGAGGTCGTCGATCTAACACTGACTGGCTCACACACACTTTATTTTGAATTAAGTACAATATTTATAGTAAGTTTCATGTTTACATAGAGAGAGAGTTTAATTACTCATAGAAATAAATTTAAATAACCCATAACATTTCCATATTTACAAACAATAGATTAACATAACTGTATTCTGATAACATGACACCTTCCCTTTTCGATATTTTCTTTGATATTTCTTCTTCCATATATTCCTATCCTTATGAATACAGTAATAAATAGCTCGAAGTGCCATCCAATAATAAAATTTAAAATATTTGTGTTTATTATTATTATTTTTTTTACTTGTTAAAATTCACTACTCGACTAACCTCTTATAAATAGGAAACTATTGGGAGGATGGCCTGGCATCATCAACACAAGATCTTAGGGTCTGGAGGTCAAACTGGGAAGGCCGGTGATGAGCCTATCCGTCACAAAGTGTATGATTTTCGAGCCCAACAAATATATATATATATATATCTCCACGCCGGGATTCGAACACGGGTCTCCTGAGTGAGAGCCAGTATCCTAACCACTAGACCACGTGGGAGAACAGATGGATGGAGATACCCAGCATCTCCATCTTTTCTTCCATGTGGTCTAGTGGCTAGGATACCTGGCTCTTACCCAGGAGGCCCAAGTTCGATTCTCGGCGTGGGGAATTTTTTTTTTTTTTTTTTTTTGGGCTCAAAAATCATACACTTTGGTTAGTAGCCCGTAAAACCATATTCTCTCTGTCCGTCACAATATTTGCAAGAATAACATTGTGGACAAAACTGTCTGAACTAATCCCAGTTTTGTCCAGTCTGGTATGTCAGCCTAACACTGGATTCTCCCATTGTCCTCTCTTTTACTGCTCTGCTCTCGACGCCATGTTCTTTCTATAGCACCAGTCCTGAAGGATTTTGAATGGTTATAGTATGTGGGTACTACCCGAGTTTGGAGTTCGTCAAATTACCTAGTAAAAGAAGTACGGAGTGGAGTTACAGGTTGAAATTGATACAGCACAGCTTGTACCACGCTGACGAGGGCCAACAGCCCGAAACACATCCGTGGTTAGCTTTTCTTGATTAATCAAGAATGGGTATTTGGCCAATTCTGGAATAATTAAAAATCAACAAATAGTTAAAATTTATTCCGATAGATGGCGCAAGCCATCATCAGCAACTTTCAATTGCCCGATAAGGAGATGCCTTTTTTTTCTTAAATGAAATATATATATAGATTTGTAATAGAGATTGAGATTGAAACTGATTTATTACAACGTTCATATAAGATTATATAAGGTTAAGTTTGGCACCAGGCGGCGATTTTATTCGTTTAATTATGTTCCCCTGTAGAAGGACAGAGATGCCTGAAAGCTTTTGAGACTACTTCAATAAAATTAAACTAATCTCCAGAAACTTTTTTAATTATTTAATTAATATTAGCATATCTGTTGATGGTGGATAATTACTTCTAAAATATAAATCTTCTTTATTGAAGGTATAAGAAACATAAATTACTAAATTATCTAAGTAAACATTACTAGTAAAATAACATCTCTCCAACCACATCTCTATTAACTCTCACTTATAAATATATATATGTTATGAATATTTTGTTTTTTGTTGTTGAAAAATATAGAGAATAGAAGGTGCAGTCGTGAAAAAGGAAAGATAGTTATTTACCCATCAAGTAGTTTTTATTTTCAATTACTTGAAGCAAATTACACATAAAATTATTTTTCACAGTAATATATAATTTATAAAATGAATCCTATATTCGTGAATTAAAAAATAGGTAGGTTAACTATACATATTTAGAACAAATATATTCAAAGTGTTATGTTCTAAATCTATGGTCAAAATAAAATAAAAGTCAATGATGAAATAAAATACATGTTTAAAAAAAAATGCATTTTAGATTAGGAAAATTAGAAACTATTTTAGACGCGTAAGATTCTTTTTGATATTAAACAATTTCTACTGCCCTTACTGCAATGGAAAAATTAAAGGGAGGGCCTGGCTCATCAGTGGTGAACCCTCCCAGCGGTTTCGCCAGTTTAATCTACCATACCGCTGTTATATTGCATTTTTCGATCTTCCTTTCATAGTGATACTGTTGTTAGACTCTTGGAATGGGTATTTTAGATGAACTATGGACATAAGCTTTGAGGACAGTAAAATTTCATTCAATTTTCATAACAGATGGCGCGCTAGTGCATCGTAATTTTAGATTATATAATATATATATACACTCCTGACACCACAGATTTTAAGTCACAGCTTATTACAATCATAGAATAATATTTGACAATGACATCAAACAATTTCAGGGCTGATAATATTATGGAGTAGCTGGGAAATATTTGGCTAAATAACTAGGAAAGGGCGATGTGTATTTATTCAAGATTTACTCAAGAATACATTGATAAGGTGAGGGGGGGAAAATATTGTCTAAGATTGGATCTGAAGCCATAACTTCTCGCCATCCCTACAACCTCCCAGTGATTGAATCCAGCCGTGGAATGAAGTTGATATGTTGACCCGGATCCCATTGCCTGGCCGTCCACTACACTACTTCTTCTTCTTCTTTCTTATCTTCACTCAATCATATTAGGATATCAAGCTTGTAAAGCTTGAGAGCAACACTACCTAATTAGACGTAACTTAACATCAGTTACAACATTTCTTGAAAATACTTCTGCCAGTAAATCTGTTTAATATCTTCTTGATAAAAAAAAATTACTGACCGAAGTATCTTTGTGGAAATAGTACAAAAGTGAATTTGTACTTGGATCAGGGGGATACATTGATAGCCATTTCCTGATCGTGCAACTGGAATATTTATAACCGAAGTACAGTGGTACCTCGACATACGAGTTTAATTCGTTCCGCAACCTTGCTCGTATCTTGAATTACTCGTATCTCGAAGCAAATTTCCCCATACAAAATTCCCATTTAAAATCACAGATTAATGTCTTCAACACTACCGAACCGAACTCGTATCTCGAATTTCGCTCGTAACTCAAAGCAAAAAATCACTTGCTCGTCGGCTCGTATCTCGAAAAACTCGTATGTTGGGGCGCTCGTATGTCGAGGTACCACTGTATCTTTATTTTCAAGAACTATGAATGCCGGCCAGGCAGCCTCTATCTTTACGACAATCAGTGACAATATCCCTCAGTGAATTGGTCAATTAAATTAATCATTTCGATAAAATAATCCCTTGATTCAATATTAAAGCAAGAAGCATCCAAGGAAAAGTTTATTTTAAAAATATTTTTTATTTAAAAATCTCTCAAGCTTTCGGCCAAGAAAGCCTTTCTACAGGAGAAAATATTTCACATCATTAAAACGCCAATAAAATTATTTAATCTTATTTTATTGTCGTTTTAATGATGTAAAATATTTTCTCCCGTAGAAAGGCTTTCTTGGCCGAAAGCTTGAGAGATTTTTAAATATTTTAAAAAGAAACTTTTCCCTGGAGACTTAATGTTCTTATTTTAAAATTAATCATTTGTTATAAAGATTCTTCTCTGTGCTCTTTTACATTTTGATATAATTATTAAGGAATCAAGGGTTTGGTTTTTTTCTCGTTTCTTTTATTTCTCGAGCTTTCGGGCTGCCCTTCAACATGGGGATCCAGAAGTACAACAAAACAACACAAGTTGTACTTCAGGATCTCCGTGTTGAAAGCCATGTTAGCCCGAAAGCTCGAGAAATAAAAGAACAGAAGTTGTACTTCAGGATCTCCATGTTGAAGGCCATGTTAGCCCGAAAGCTCGAGAAATAAAAGAACAGAAGTTGTACTTCAGGATCTCCATGTTGAAGGCCATGTTAGCCCGAAAGCTCGAGAAATAAAAGAACAGAAGTTCTACTTCAGGATCTCCATGTTGAAGGCCATGTTAGCCCGAAAGCTCGAGAAATAAAAGAACAGAAGTTGTACTTCAGGATCTCCGTGTTGAAGGCCATGTTAGCCCGAAAGCTCGAGAAATAAAAGAACAGAAGTTGTACTTCAGAATCTCCGTGTTGAAGGCCATGTTAGCCCGAAAGCTCGAGAAATAAAAGAACAGAAGTTGTACTTCAGAATCTCCGTGTTGAAGGCCATGTAAGCCCGAAAGCTCGAGAAATAAAATAACAGAAGTTGTACTTCAGGATCTCCGTGTTGAAGGCCATGTTAGCCCGAAAGCTCGAGAAATAAAATAACAGAAGTTGTATTTCATGATCTCCGTGTTGAAGAACATGTTAGCCCGAAAGATCGAGAAATAAAAGAACAGAAGTTGTAGTTCAGAATCTCCGTGTTGAAGGCCATGTTAGCCCGACTGCTCGAGAAATAAAAGAACAGAAGTTGTATTTCAGGATCTCCGTGTTGAAGAACATGTTAGCCCGAAAGATCGAGAAATAAAAGAACAGAAGTTGTACTTCAGAATCTCCATGTTGAAGGACATGTTAGCCCGAAAGATCGAGAAATAAAAGAACAGAAGTTGTATTTCATGATCTCCGTGTTGAAGAACATGTTAGCCCGAAAGATCGAGAAATAAAAGAACAGAAGTTGTACTTCAGGATCTCCGTGTTGAAGAACATGTTAGCCCGAAAGATCGAGAAATAAAAGAACAGAAGTTGTACTTCAGGATCTCCATGTTGAAGGCCATGTTAGCCCGACTGCTCGAGAAATAAAAGAAATGAGAAAAGAGACCAAACCCTTGATTCCTTACTGATTAAATAAAAATTAATCATTTGTGTTAGCGTGTTTTTGAGGTAATGTGAAAAACGTATCTTCACTCTATTTCTTTCTTATTATTTATGTCCTTTAAATTACCTACTCCGGAAGGTTTTCCTTCCTAATTTTTTCTCATTATCCTTAATACACGTCTTACAGGCCATGATAGTCATGGTGGGTGATCGACTGTTTTGACTGTAAATACACCAATGGCTACACATGTAGAGAGCAGTTCGAATTTTTCACTTACAAATGTGCCAGAGCCTCGTTTGGTTACTTACACTCACAGGTGGGGTTGGATCAGAGGCAAGTAAAGCAATTTTTTCTTCAGAAAAAAAGTGACCATTGCGGGATTCGATCCTAGGTCGAAATTGAACTGTTTATAGTAAAACACACAGTGTCTAAGGTTTACATAATTAAAACAATTTGAACAAAACGATATGGACAACAGGTAGAGGACGAGAGCTTGAAAGCCAACACCATCTTAGAACCCCTATATATTATAGGGAGGAGATAGTCTCCACTTCAAACAGGGAGGACGAGTACCTGTCGTCTGAGCAGAGGTCTGTTCTGAAGCTATTCCTCGACATGGCAATAGTCGGGGAGATTTGTCCAACTTCAGGACGTGACATCATACCAGACGACCCTCAGTGGGATTCCTCTGATGAAAATTGCCACGTGGAAAATTAGGGAAGACCAACTTCAGGATGACACAGCAATTTATTTCAGACAAGAACAAACTATAAAGGATAAACAAAAGGAATGAGGGAAGTTTACAGAGTAGTAAAATATAAACATAAAAAATGATACTCTGTTAATACTAGTGTAAAATAATAAATACTTCTCGCTACAAAATAATATTTAATTTTACTTTGTTTTCTCCTACTAACCCTCTATAATCTTATATGTACGATGT